GGGTTAGGGCTGCGTTTTTTCATGTTGAATGGGTTTCTTTCTGTCGATTCCTAAACACCAGCACTGTACCTTGTTGACCATGTACATAAATGAGTGATTCCGCTGTCCGATTTTACTTTATTTTGTTTGTTCCATTATTTGTGGGTTTTTCCTTCGTTGTTGTTCTGCTGAATTGAGTTTTGAGGTATGTGGGAGGTTTAGTTCTAAGTGTGCTGGGAGGTTGAAGAAGGAGGAAGCAGCTCTACCATTTTTCTTGGGTCAACCTCGGGCGAGGTTGAGCCCGAAGTATTTGTCAGATGCTCGAGGCTTAACCTCGAGGTAGGCTCGAGGTTGGATTTCTTTCAAATACCTCAGGCTCAACCCCGCCAGAGGTCGAGCCCGAGAAAAATGGCAGAGTTGCTTCAAGGTTGCCTCGAGGTTGAGACTCTGACGAATACCTCGGGCATAACCTCGTCCGAGGTTGACCCGAGAAAAATGACAGAAGCTTACAAACGTTGAGCGACTTTACAAATTTTTGTATAGTCTACATTCTGTGAAATTTCTCGGGCCCGATCTTTCCCGAGGTTGTGCCCGAGGAAAATTACAGAATGTAAACTTTGTTAACAATAATATATATTTTGCCCAAATTATTTAGTGAGTTATTAAACAGTATTCATTTCTGACCATATATGGTTTAGTTTAGTGTGAACTTGATGGTTTGAATCTGAGTGTAAATGTTTGTGTGTATTTACTTAAAGGAAATGGATTTGATACCGAAGGTTCCTCTCGCGCTGTATGTCCAGAACGAATATGTGGACCCCGAGGCACTAAAGGTCGACACTATTGCGGTTGATAAGGAAATAGTCGTGGACCCCGATATAGATCTGGTCGACACAGGCGCGGTTGGTATGGAAAAAACCGTGGAACCTGAGGTAGAATATGTGCTTCAAGGAACGCCTCCTGATCATCCCAAGGACGTCCAGAGTACCAACATTGGTACATCGAAACACGTGGCAGATGTTGACATCGATGCCATTCAGTACCAGTCACTGATACAGGTATCTCAATTGCTGCGCACTAACTTATTTTGGTTGGGGTTACTTTGACGTTGTTCTAATGATAACATCCTTTCAAGTCCAGATTCTACATGATTTATCAGATACCAACACTGACCCAGATATCGTATTCTAGTCACAAGCGTCCGAGGAAACACAATCACAAGGCCAGACACGTGTGGATGATGGCGACGTACGTGTGTTATCTCAGCCAATCACGCGTCCACCCCCTCGTCGTAGAGAACGGGAAAAGAAAAAGCCATGGAGACTTGGAGGGTCGTACGAAGTTAAAGTGGGCGGGAAGCGAAAAAGGGTGATCGTGTACAATCCACTCCCAGATCTCCCAGCTGCAGAGGAGGTCAAATTCGAAAAGTGGATTGAAAACTACGAATCAAATCGTTCGTCCCTAAAGACGCCATATGCATACAGAAAGAAGCAGTGGTTTTGTGACCTACTAAGGCCGAACAACTGGTGCACGAATGAGGTACATAGGCTTAGAATGGTGGAGGCTGGGAATTCCTTATTTTTTTGTGTCTATTACTTTTAATATGAGGGTGATACTTGCAGGTCATTGATTCACTAGTCATGTTGGTGCGGAAGAAGCTGGAAGAACGTCCTGACTTATGTTCTTGCCAATTCACCACTAGAGACACTGTGTTGTCAGTACGTCCCACGTAATTGTCTGTTACTCCATTTTTGTTCTCTATTTCTTATCTATGCCTAACAACATCCATATTAAATGTACAGAACTTTTTTCGTCGAATCGATGGTCTATATAAGCTGGTGAAATAAAAAAATGCCACACCAGCGCAAGTGGCGAAGGAGTATGACTGGGATGTGCGGGAGAGTACCGTCATGGCATACATCGATGGAAGTCATTCGGACTACCCGCTTAAGTGGCGTGAGGTGGAGGCTGTCTATTTACTCTTCAATGTCAACGACAACCATTGGGTTATGATATGCATAGACTTCGTTGAAGGTGAGATCGTTGTCTGGAACTCCCTAAGGGCAATTACCTCAGATGCATCATTGGAGGATCAATTGAAAGTCATGCGCACAAGTCATCCCGCCGTTATTGCATAAATCTCAGGTCATCGCGGTACGTCCAAACCTACCATTGACACTGTGGCAAATTCGTAGGGTTACGTCGCACTGCAGCAGTTTAGTAGCAGAGACTGCGACATTTTTTGTGTTAAGTATTTTGAATATGATGTAATATGGATTTCTTTTGAAACATTGAGGCAAAACAATATGTCCATACTTTAGGAGACAATTTGCCTTCCAGCTATGGTCTAATAAGGCAGTTTGGTGATGAAGTGTACGATCTCTTTTTCAATATATTAATCATTTTAATCTCTATTTTTGTAGATCATTGAATTTTAGGGTCGGGGTCGAGTATAACTCAGCCAAGAATTATAGAATCAACAAAAATGTGCCAACCTCGGGTTCGACCTCACCCGAGATCGAGCCCGAGAACTTTGACAGAACCTGAAAAAGATCCAACCCCGGGCTTCACCTAGCCCGAGATCTGCTCGAGAAATTTGACAGAACCTGAAAAAGATCCATCTATCCTAAGGATGCATGTTGACCATCATAGTTGCACAAGGAGCATTCGTACTTACATATTGTACTTCCACAACAGGTGTTCTTGAGGATGGATCAGCACCACAAACTGGGTCCTCAGTTTCATCATTATCCTCATTCTCAGTTTCAATGTAATCATCATCCTCATTCTCAATTCCTATGTAACCATCATCCTCATTCTCATCCTCATTCTCATGATCCTCATCACCTCCAACATCATCTCACTGACCTAAGTGTTCTTGTTCATCGTTGCCTAAATTGCATGGGACAATGTTGTACGTCAATAGAGTCATAAATTGTACATAAGATGGCGGGTTGACAGTATGTATAGGTGAGTGCATGTAATTTAGTGGGACAAGAGAAGGAACATTTTGTTATACTTGGCATGGAAATGAAGTGAATGTTTTGGTTTGAGGATATAATGTACCATCACGTGAGTTACTACCACTACCTTGTCTTTCCTTTGGTACAACAGATACATACAAGGGCACTTGAAAGGGATGTGGAGGGCCCATAAGGTAAAAACCAAGGCTAGTATCATCAAATATATAAAAGTTCGGCACTTGGTACTCAAATTTGTAAATACATTGTAGAACAATATTGAAAAGGTCAAAATTTATTCTAGTCATCCTAAAGATTGTACTTACAAGGTCTCTATATGTTATTCTTTCATCAACATTCAACCCACCCATAACTCCACCTTCGTATACAGTGCCTATCTGATTCCACTGACCCCCATAGATCACAAAAAGGCGAACCATTTTGTTCTGCATTACAAAGCACAGTTGAAAGACAATTAGAGATGGAAAATAATATATATATATATATATATATAAAATAAACTTCAACCTCGGGCGAGAAATATATTTTCTTGCCCGAGGTGGAGTTCAATACGCAGCCACGCCCGAGGTGAGTTTAGTACCTCGCTCGAGGTTCATCAATAACATGATTCTCGATCGAGAATCATATCACCTCGCTCGAGAATGGCCCAGAATTTAAACCGAACAGTGCAGAAGGAATGGACAAATGAGTTTAAAACAAAATAATAAACGTTATTGTTACTCCGACTCTAACAAAAATAAACCAAACGATGACCAAATAAAAACACATTTGTTAAAATGTAGACATCAAGCAAGATTATTGAACAAAATGAGAAAGCATAAAAAATAAATAACTACCTCTTCCAAAGTCTTGAAACTTCCAAAGAGAATATTCACAAAGCTTTTCAGATTTCTTAGGATTTTGCAGAGAGAATATTCACAATAAGGACATATGTTCTCTCAGTAATGACATGTACTGATTGGTTAGGACAACTTGGTGTGCATTAAATTGGTTTTGTGGTGCATTGAAGCTACCTCGGGCGGGAATGTTTCTACCTCAGGCGGGAATTATTACAACGGTCATCTGTTACATTTAATGGCATTATGGTCATTTCACCTGCTTCTGACACATCATCAATGCTAAAA